ATCCGAGTTCCAAAATGGGGCCGGATGGCTTACCTTCTCTTTTATTTTAGGCCAACCCTAGTGTTTTCCTCCACTCTAACCGGCCAAAAATAGTTGATCTAAGGCTAAGCTACCAATTGTTGATGGTGAATGGAAGTGATATCAACCGAAGGATAGTCAATCCGAGATATGAAAGAGCAACGAGTATACGGATTAATCCACCGGTTAACGAGTCGATTGGGTATTCTCGTGGGCCGTTTAGCTTTTTTAAGAATTTTTAGGCTTTTTTTCTTTTTGGGATCCGTGTTTAGCTTAAATGGTCGTAAGGGTTAGGTATTTATAGGAAAAAAAAATTAGGACATTGGTTAAACATTAATTTTGATTTTTGGTTTCTCTCAATTTTTAATTTCGGTGTTGATTTGCTTAGTTTTCTTCTCTTTTTTTTTCAATAGTAATATTTCCTTATTTCAATTAAAATCGTGGATCTTTATCTTTTTAATTGTACCTTCAATTGTTTTTTTTTTATCCCTACACGTCGTATTTTTTAATTAATCCCCCTAAATCATTTTTTTTCAAATAATTTTTTTTCTTTTTTCATTTTCATCTTCTTCTTTTTTTTAACTCATAAAATTTAAAAATTAGATTGGGGTAAAAATTAGATGTTAACATTATGGATCCTTATTCGTTAAGGAGATTTATTTATTTTGAGTTCATATAATATATGAATCGAAATTTAATTAGGTTGAATTAAAAAAAGTACTAATTGAAAATGTATGGCATAAGTCCGATTCAAATTAGGAAAAGAATCCTATTTAGGAAAGGATTTAGAATCGGCCGAGGAGAAATGACTTAACCTAGTTGACTCTTTTAGGGCCTTTAGGGGTGAGTATTTAAGCACACTTTGTGCTACTTTTTCAGTTAGACTTTGATAAATATTTGAATAAAAATTGAGATTTTTCTCTATAACTTTTGTGTGTTTTCTTTGCTTGGACCGGTTAGGACGTCTTAAACACATCCTTAGAATGATCGATTAAGGTGGGCTTAGATCAACAATTGTGTCAAGTGGACTCTCGAAGAACATATTCCGTACGTACTCTCTAAATAAACTTGAGTAGAGTTTTCTTTTTGAGAGTGAGACATTGGGGCTTGCTTTTATCTTTATGTTTGCTTGATAAATTGCGAGTGGATTAGGATTTGAAGACTAAACAAATTCGGTCTCAAAGCTAATAACCAAGGCTAGAGATTTTATTTTGATCTAAATTTTGGGTAGTAATTATTTAAGGGGTTGATGTAGCTCTTGTTAAAAATTAAGAAAAAATATATATATTTGTGTATGTTTCTAGGTCGTGAAAGTTGATGCAAATTCTAGAACCTATTATGTCTAGAATTTCGACTTGATAGAAACAAGAGGGGTTAATGGGGTTAGATTGATCTAAATTTAATATGCATATAGTTCTCGATAGTATCTAGAATGTGTTAAAATTTCAATTTAATTTTAGTTGATTTTCTTAGAGATCGCCTCTACCCTATATTTTAGTTTGAGAGTTTGTTGTTTAGTGATTATGTGATCTTATTTGTGTTTCGTTGAAGATTTGGTTGATTGTGAATTGGACCTTTGATTATGTGTTATATGAGGTATGTTCGAAGTCAATTTGAGGTTGGTTTATAGCTAGGCCTCATTCGGCCATGTCCTAATGCAAATAGGAAATTCGAAACTTATGAGGACTAATTAATTTAGCCCAAATCTTGACTATTAAAATTAACCCACCTAAAAAAAAATAACATAAATAAATAAAAGAACAATAAAATAAAAATGATAGAGGGCGGAAAGTTTTAGCCATTATAGAGTGCTAAACTTTCAGCCCAAATGGAAGGTGGATGCTCCCGCATTAAAAATGCCACTAAAAAAACGAAGAAGGAACGTTGCCTTTGAACTTTTGATAACAAATTGAGTAGAACACAAAAAAGTATAGATGAATGGTAATTTCTCTCCGTATTTTATTCAGGTTTTAACTCTTTTTTGTTATATAGTGTTACAAGTATTGTGTTTGTATAACTTTAGATATTCATAAGTAAACTACTTGATTAACAACAAATAGATCGATCAAAGTTATGAGTGTCTATCTGCAGACTCACTAGGGTATCCGAAGGTAACAACTTGTCGCTATCCGACATCGAACGAGACTCCAAAAATAAAAATCCCTAGTTTAAAATTTATTTTTATTTACAAAATTATTTATAGAGTTTGGAGTCGCCATCTAGTATTGAAGGAACTAGGAACCTAAGTTAACATAAATTAACAAACATGCATAAAATAAACTCAAGATTTAAAATTTCGTTAATTAAAATAATTAAAGACAATTCAATATATAAATTAAATATGAAATAACAATATCCATAAAAATAAAGACTTTTTTTTTTTTTTTTTTGAGGGGGTTTGTCCGACCCACCCAAAGGCAAAATTTTCGACCGGACGAGTCCAACCTTATCCCAAGTGAGTTTGGGCTCACTTAAAATAAAAGACTTAAGTTTTTTTTAGCCTAAAAGCATAACCCAAATCTAAGCTTTTAAAATTTTGGATCAAAAACTCCTTTTCCATTTTTTTTCGTTCTCTTTTTCCCGTCCCTTTCTTTCTTTTCCTTTCTTCTTCTTTTTCTTTTGCCTCGAAATCCAAACTCCATGGACGAACCAAGACAAGTTCGTCCCTCTTTCCCTTCTTTTTCTTTTCTCCTCCTCTTTTCTTCTCTTCCTTTCTTCTTCTCTTTTTCTTTCTTCTTCTCTTCTTCTTTCCCTAATTCTTTTCTCCTCCCCCTCTTTTTCTTCTTCTTTCTTTTTCTATCGAATCCGCCATGGACGAACCAAGACAAGTTCGTCCATGCTTCCTCCTTTCTTTTCTTCCTCTTCCCTTCTTTCTCTTCCTTCCTTTCCTCCTATCAAAACCCCCAAATCAATTTCTCCAAGTTCTTCCCCAATTTTGGCCGAAACCCTAAGTTTTCGATTTCTTATTTTTTTCCTTTCAATTGAACCTAATTGGCTTGATTTCCTTTGAAATCAAGTTAATTCACACCTTTATAGACCTAATTTCTTAAAAACCCCCAATTTAATTTTGTTCAAAAATACTCGGGAATCCTAGGTTTAAATTGAAGCTAGTTCGACTTCAATTTGGGTTTTACACTCCAAATTGAAACTCTAATTGACCTCAATTAGACTTAATTAGTGTTTTCCAACCTCAATTTCAAACCAAATTCAAAAAGCCCCAAATTCAACTCGGACTTTAAATTCACAACAAAAACAAAAATTAGGAAATTAAAAAGGGATTACCGGGAGCCAATTTGGGTCTAATTGAAGTGAGATGCGACTCGAGTTCCAAGTAAATTCGATCTCTCTTATCTCTCTTTCTATTTTCGGATTTTTTTCTCTCTTTCTCGTTGTCGTCCAATTTTGTTTGCTTTTTTTTTTTCAATTTTCCGGACTTACCGCCTTCTTTTTGTTTATGAACTCGTCTCTATATATATGTGTGTGAAATGCCGGCTTGGTTCTCCACCATGATGGTGTGAGATTTTTCTCGCAGGACCTCGAGTGGGGGTTGGATGGGATTGAGTTTGTGGGTCGTGCAGTGGTAAAACGGCTAGAGATTAGCTTGGGGAGAGTGGACTGTGGGCGATGCGGGGTGGCCGGCATGAGGGGTTGCAGCAAGGTATATGGAAAAGTTGTGGGCTATGGTAAGAGGGTGGCTACAAGTTGCAGCTGGTTGTGGGCTACCGGAGGGCAATGTGATTTCGGGCCGCTGGAGTTGTGATTGTTGACTTGGGAAAGAGACCGTTGAAATTTGCGGTAGTAGGATGGTGTAAGTAGAGGTCGCAAACGGAGGGGATGCTAAAATTGCCGACCATGGAGAGGAGGTCGTGGGCCGCAAATTGCAACAGATGAGGATTGTTAGAGTGGCCAGTTGTCGAAGCCAAAAGGATGATGCAAGTTGAGAGTCAAAGCCGAAACTAGGAACTAAATTGGTTCCTAGGGAAACAGGGTTACTGAAACCGGAGTTTACAAACTGAAATTTAGAATTGATTCCCAAGAAAAGCTAAAAATTTGTACATGAGATAGAGGGAAACCGTCCCTACCTCTATATTTTTTTTTTTTAATGTAAAGATTGCAAATAATAAATAAAAATTCTTTTTTTTCTTTTTGTCTAATGTCCTTTTTTAAAAAATTAAGCAAACATAAACTAAAAAACAAAGAAAACCAAACAAAATAAAAAAATATATATATATGAGAAATGAATAAAAGTTGGGGTATAACACAACTTATTGTTGAGATATTTGTTTGAAGAAGCCATGGCTGTCGCTAGAGAAGAAACCGTTGCTAAAGCATCTTGTCTTAACAACATCAATTTACTTATTTTCCAAACACACTGCTCAAAATATTGGCGAGACAATAGAATGTAGAGCGTACCATTTCCCTTTCACCCCCTGTGAAGGTGTTTCTTAGGTCATTTGATGTTACCAACTTGGGGTGGCTTCACCTACGTTTTCCCTCGTCCTATTCCATATGTAAATCTCCCTTGAACTTCAACGATTCTCTAAAGCCAAGTTAAACAGATAAAAAGAGCGTTTCAACCTTTGATTTCTTCCATCAACCAATAATAAAATCAACCAGGTCACTCAAGTCATACAGTTGCCAACCGAAGACTCTTGCTATATCAATCAAGTTGGAAGGCAGTCTGGTATGGGCTCTCGAGGAATTAAAAGTTTCTTATGGATGATATTTACTAGTAAAAGATTCACCCAACTATTTGCTCCAACAGATCTATAAAGATCCAACCATAATTATCATTTTATTGTCAGAAGAAAAGCTGGGAGGAGAAAAATTCAATTAATGTTTTAATTCTCAGGTTGACAATCTATAGATGCAAAACATAGGACACAATGTTGGCAAACATTCTAAGCAACAGAAATTACCACGCAGTCTCCCAACCAAAAAAAAAAAAAATTGATTCTTTAAAGTTTTGCTTCAATACTATTTCATTCTTCCTGATCTTTTGGTTTTGTTGCAATTGATTCTCTCCGTGGATAGTGCTTCTTCCACTTCTTTTTGGGCAAATCCATGAGCCAAGATGGAACCTCACAGCCTGAAGCTGCCATCACATTAGCTATGTTACGCAAATATGGAATATCATCTTCCGTATAGAAAGTAATACCTTCACCAATCCTCCCTGCTCTGCCCGACCGACCTATTTGGAACATCAAGAAAGTTTTGCAACATCCATCATTCCCAAAATGCCAATATTTTTCAAAAACATCCTTGTAAATGAATCAACAAAATATCACTTTTCAAAAATCAAGTGTTTAAGAGCTCTTTGACCACTGGGAATCCACAGGACTCGGAAATCAGAGGCAATTTAAATTCATACAATAATCACAAAAACAATGACTTGAAACAGATTTAAGGAACCATCAGATCAATGCTCAAAAAAGGGAACTATATCAGATGAAAATCATACAAAATAGAATTAAAGACACTTACGGAACAGGGAAAGTGAGGAAATTAAGGAATCTTCATCCAAAAAAAAAAAAAAAACACAAAAGTTCAGTGCTGAAGGCTAACAGATTCATAAATTTGATCAAAACACCTGACTTAAAATATTGGTGCTCACAACATGGCTATGGCTTCTAACATGTTTGTCACTCAGACTATAATGAACTTATATATAATTACCACACATCTAGACATATGAGAGCATTTAGAGTTTCAGAAACATACCAATCCTGTGAATATATGAAGCAGCACAATCTGGGAAATCATAATTAATCACACATTTGACTCCTTTGAAATCCATACCCCGGCCAAGCACATCAGTTGCAATCAAAACCCATGTCTTTCCAGCTCTGAAGTCATCGATAACATTTTCTCGCTGTGTTCAAGTGCAAAAGACTAGTGTAAATACTATAATTGTTGGGATAAACAAGTAACAAGAATCCATAATATTAAATGGGAAAAACAATGAAAGAGATTCAACATAGTTCTGGAAAACCCTGCAGGAGTGGGCATTAAGATCTTCCTAGATTTTTCTTTGTTTGCAGTATTGACAAAAAAGAATGAAAGTTAGTCCATATAAATGAAACTCCACAAAAGATTACCTGCTCCTGCGATAAATTCGAATGAATAACACCAACTCTAATGCTATCAAATTTCAGCTCTTCATATAGTGCTTCTGCTCGCTCAATGCTTTGAACAAAGATCAACACAGGTGGATTCAGACTCTACTGCCAAGCACAAGATGCGGCAAAAATGAAGAGTTGACCAAGAAGATAAAAATCTTTGATAACACTTGGAAGCAATAGCTTGACAAAAGATATGGCACAGTACAAAATGCTCAACAATACTACCTGCTAGGTAGGTACCAGATACTGAAGTGTCGTTTGGTTACCAAGAATAAGAGGTTCGGAATGAGAATGTACAAATTGAAAGAGAAATTAGAGAATCAAAATTACATTTGCATTCTCATACATAGTGGTGGTGGTCGAAGAGGAGGAGAAAGAAGATGAGATAGTGGAAGTAATAGCAAAAATATATTTAAAAAAAAATTGATACCACCACTATAGGAGGTGACAGTGGAGGAAGAGTGGTGGTAGTATAATAAAAGTGATGATGGTGGTGGAGTAATGGCAGAATAATAATAATATAATTTAAAAAATATATATATATCACCACTGACAATGGGGGTGGTAATGGTGGTGGTGGAGGAGGTGATAGTATAAATTTTTTATACACAGAAAAAAAATAATATATCACTATTTTGAAGAAAAAATTTTCATTCTCATTCCTTGTTGGTATTCCCATCTCTCTTCATGCAAATGAAATTATGTTAAATTTTTATTTCCATTCTCATTTTTTATTAACATTTCCATTTCATTTCTTTCAACTAAACACTTACAAAATGGGAATAAAACTTTCACTATCATTCTCACCATTCAATTCCTTATCACCAAACAACACTTAAGTGTAGATATTCTGGCATTTTCACCAAATATTCAAACTAAGTGAACTACAGTAAAACCTGCATCTTTTTGATATGCAATATGCTTAGAAATTGCTAACATCTGCACAAGAATTATATAACTAGAAGAACCTAGAATAACAAGCCAGTCAAATCAAAACAATCTGAAACAAAGCAAATTTAGTTGTCACCACACATATCAATATTTAGTTCACAATTAACCAAAATTTAATTTCATTTCTCATCCTTTATCAAACAAAAGAACTGAAATGACATGGTCATATCACTATGTATAATATTACAATCGATTCAGTTCAAATTTTGAAACCAAATAGGAAATCCCCTTTGAAGTAAAAGAAAAAAAAAACTATGAGGCTTGCATTATTTAGTCAGTAGCGAAACGAATCCAGAAATTAATATGGACTTAATAACCCCAGCATACAAGCAAATGCAAAACCTCGATGTTGTATGACTAGTGTTGGCTCTAACTCCATAGCTCCATCCTTATATGGACTTAATAAATTGAATACCAAGGGCAAAAAATTCAATAGCACGGATATTAGCAGCATACCTCTGCAAAGCTTTGACGAAGTGCAAGAAGTTTCCCTTCCTCAGTTCCAGCAAAGATCAATTTTTGCTTGATAGACTCAGAGGCCGCATTCCTGTTCAAATTTCAAATACAAAATGCATGTCAAAGGAACTTATTTTGCTCTTACCTTATGAAGAGGAAATCATCATACTTACTTGTCACCAACAATAACTCGAACAGCATCATGCATAACAGTGCGTGCAACCTCCTCAACAAAATCAGGTAGAGTAGCACTAAACAGAGAACGTATTATTGATGGGTTACAGCATGCTTTCACCACAGAATCAGTCTGCTCTAACAAGCTGTGCTCAAATAGCTTATCAGATTCGTCAAGAACAAGATACTCAACCCTACAAAGCAACATTTACATGGGAAAGTGTCTCAATGCCAAAAATATTTGTTAAGCTGTTACTAGAATTGACAGTGATTTGCCGATACATTATTCTTGCTTCAAATCAACTAGAATCTAAGTAACATTAATATCTGATTGCACCATCACAGATGTCCAAGGCCTATGAAGGCTCTTTGTTTTTCAACCCAGACTGTATATCAGGACAATGCCTCCCTACCCAACAAAAAGGAAACTTCACACTAATTTCTATCATTAGCAATTTAGCAGATGTTAAAAGAATGTGAAAAATGCTAGGATCAATGAAAGTTGTTTTCTTCCCAATCAATTATTAACGGATAGAATTGCTCAGAGGCTCTATATGGTGTGATACATCTTGCAGGGATATGGCAATCTGACTTGCTCACAGATCATAGGTGTTATTTCTCAAATGTTTCTTTTCTCTTATTTCTTGATTGCTATCAAGGCCCTTATCTGTTGGACAATATCCACTATTGTACAGCTATCTTTTCTATACAATAATATAATTTTCTTTAATCAACAAAAAGTAGAAAAAAATTAGTGAAGTTGGACAACTTTAGACTTGTAGGTCACATAGAATTCACGGTTAGCTAGGTTTAAAGAATTAGGGATTTTAGGAAGAAATCACAGTTACATTGACTAGTAACCGAGGTTATCGTACCAAGAAAGGAGAGGAAGATGAAGAAAATATTGCTTAGGGAAACGAAAAAAGAAAGAACACTCAATGCAGCAGTCCTCAAATTAATTAACAAAACTCATGATCCCATTATCAAATCCTTCCTATTACATAGAATAGGTGCTCCTTTTATAAGCACCAAATAAACCTATTAGTCATAAACCAAGTAAGAAACAGAAAACCAAATAGAATAAGGAAAACCATAAATAATAGAAAATGCCTATTAATACTCTAATTTCACAAAATAAACTAAGATCTTTGCATGGTATCACTATTCCAATGTAAGATGCATTTTACAAGAAATACTAAAGTAAACAGAATCAAAAGACAAATAACAATAACTTCTAAACTTATCTCTAATTGACAGCATCAAAAAGATAGTTGGATACCCCAATATTTGCAAGATGGTACTCTACAACTATTAGATTAAGCTTGTTATGGCGAAGATGAGTTTGAAATTACTTTGATACTAATATGGAATAGAAAAGGAGTTCTTTTTTTGTTTTCCTTTCACTTAGAGAGAGATTCTTCTTTTAATTTCATCCTCCACATCTTTTGTCGTATATATTATGCCTTGAAATATAACTGCAGAAATTCTCAGCAGTCAGCATGCACTCATGATTTAGTTTCTTTACCAGCTTAAGAGATGTTACACCAACAAAAATCTCGGTCAACACCCACCTGCTTAAGTCTATCTTCTTCTTCTTCTTGCTGATACATAACTGTAAACGACGAGGTGTTGATATAAGGATATCACAGTACACCTTTGCAAAATCAGCATTTCTCACAAGCTCTTTAGTCATTAGCTTAATACGGAATTTACTTCCTTTAGCCATTTTTTTGCACTCCCTCATTGTCTGAGTTGCTAATTCTCGTGTATGACACAAGATAACAGCTCTGATCCCATCCTTTGATGCATGCTGCATATAGAACTATTGATCAGAAAGAAACCATAGAATCAGATTTCCACCAGTAAAAAGGCTTAAATAGTACCTTAAGTTTCATTAGCATGGGATACACAAAAGCCAAGGTTTTCCCAGATCCAGTTGGAGCTTTAGCAAAGCATTCCCGACCCTTGAAAACAATGATGAGAAAATAGTCAAAAGTACAATTAACGGTACAAAAAGAGCTCTGAGGAACACATTTCAAAGTTCTAATGAAATTAGAACAGTTCTAACAGACACCTGTCATATTCTTTTAACCTGTCATATGCTTTTAACTAAACTTAAATGGGAAAAAAATGAAGATGAAAAAAGCATTGGTCACAGAAGATAGTTAAACGGAAGACCATACAGATAAGAGGACTGGAATGGCCTGTCTTTGGATTGGTGTTGGCTCCTTGAATCCAAGTTTTACCAAATTGTGCAATAAATATGAGTCACATCCATATCTGCAAGTGAAGCAAATTATATTTTCATTTACAGTTAGAAAATAGCAACCGACATATTCAAAATAAGTAATGAAAACAGCAGAAAAGTAGACATATTCTTAGTAATATTGAAAACTAATAAAGGGGAGCAAGGTGCCCTTCAGAATGAGAAATGGACATCTGAGAGGATGAACCATGTGACAAATGAGGACCAACTTGAGATAGATATGATAAACACAATCCTAAAATGTCATCAACAATTACAATGATGACAATATTTAATCTACGAATAACATTAACAATGAGTTATCTCATGTCAGATAATTCAAGGCAACCACACTGAAGAAGAAAAGCACTGTTTTTACAAATAAATTCCAAAAAAAGAAAAACCCTGTAGTGGAATAGTTAATAAGCTATAACAGTGTCATTTCCCAAAGTAGCTAATCTGTGGGAACTTGAAATCAAAATCAGTGTTTATATATTCATCTGCATTAAGACTACCAAATAAAGGTACGATACCACCTTGTGCTTAACTCTGCAAAACTTTGCAGCGGGGATGGAACATCGTTTCCAGAGACATTGATGCCATACTTCTTCCTTAAACGTAAATCCCGCTAACCTCATCAAGAATTAAAGAAAAAAATCACAAACACAGATATCATAATACTAGTAATAATAACATACAGTGACAAAAACTAGAATTAATAATTTTAAAAAAAAAAAAAAAAAAAAAAAAGGACAAGCCAACCTCATTTTGCCTATTCAATTCCTTCTTCTGATTATTATCCTCTTGGTCACTCTCTTCATTGGTCACTACCGGCAAGGAACTTGAACCCTTAAACACATTGAACCCCTCCACTCTTTCTATTTCCACCAAATCAACAAACAACAACCAAAACCCAAAAACAGAAAAGTAAGCTCCTTTAAAATCAAAACATTTTTTCCCTTTCAATTCACAAGCCTAAACCCACAAAGAAAAATCAGTCACCTGATGCGTTTTTTCTCTTCCTCTTCTTACTAACTGAAACTGCCACCTTATCTGCTTCAGTATGTTCTCTTTTGAAGTAGCTCAAATCATCCACTGAACCATCATCGTTGCTTTGTTTTTTCTTCTAATAAATGAAAATTGAAACATTATAGGTGAATTCACAAAATCAAAAGCTGAACTGAAAACAATGAAGTTGGTACCTTGAAGCGGGCAAAATCGATGGCAAACCTCTTCTTGTTGAATTTGATGCCAGTTAGTAAAAAAGAAGTGTCTCTCTCCATTACTTCAAGTTTTTTTACGCTAAATTTTAAGATTGAGAAAGAACAGCAGAGCGCTTTTTGCTCGGTTTAGAGGTTTAGGGTTTTTTATTTCTGAGATGGTACCTGTGTTATGCCTGTTTTGTAATTGCTTAAAACGGTAGCGTTGTTCAAACCCAAAGTTTCTCGTACGGCACTAAAAATATCTCTTTCATTCATGTGCCAAATGATGCAAATTTTTATGACCAATTTATATTCTCAAAAAAACATATAGTTATATTCTTATATAACTCAAATTTACTTTCACGTACATTACATTTTCGTTAATGAAGATAGTAAAATTTTGCTTACAAGGGAAGAAATGCTCGACATTGTGAGAAAATCCAGTCTTTAATATTTAACCATATTGAAATATTGATGAAGTGGTTCGTACATTTAACGGATGCAGTGAGATGCGACCCTTGTAACACCCGACATTCGCATATTGGCCGAGCCTCTCTTTTTTTTTTTTTCCCTACGTAAGATATAATGATAATTGACTTTTAGTTTATTATTTTTCTATTAAATAGAAAACAATTATAGTAATATTAATTTAATGAGTACTACTAAATCCACTATATATTTTGTTATTCTCATTAAAATTTTATTATAAATTGTCAATACACTATCATCATATTAAGTTAGTGACTAGATAATAACCGAGATGTAAGAATTTATTAGTAATTTGCAACAAAAAATTGATTCAAATAACAAAACAAATAGTGAAATTAATAGTACCCACTAATCATAATTATGATATTAAATAATTTTAATTATTATTAATACTTATTAGTTAGCTATTATTAATACTTGTTTGCACTCAATTTTTTCTCTCGTTTTACTTCTTTTTTTTAAGTACAAAAATGATAAAATCAAAACAAAACCAAGAAACCAAAAAAAAATCAAAAAATCAAAACAATTAAAATAATTAGATTAGATTAATTTTAGGAATAGGGGAGGACTAATTAAAAAAAAAAAAGCTTGGAGATAAACACTCGTCAAAGGCAAAAATAAAAAATAAAAAGCCTTAAATTAAAAAAAAAAATAGAGAGACGTAATTAGAGGGAAAATTTTAGGAAAGGACTTGATTAATCATAATTTGGGAGCCATTAAATTTCAAACAACTCAAATTATACTCAATCCGACAAATTAAGTGAAATCAAGGCCCGAACAAATTTTTACCCCAAAAACCCTAACTCCTACTTATAAAAGCTAACTTTTCTCTTCACCAAAAAAAAAAAAAAAAAAAAAAAAAAGCCTCCATTTCTCCTAGATTTTCAACAACTTGCTCTCCACTTTCTAGTTAATTGTGCAAGTTTTCCTACCTATAAACCCAAAAAAAAACCCTCACTTTTTCATCATTCAAGCCATCTTCCTCTATCGAAAAAACCACCATCAACCTCTCTATTTATCAAACCAACCACCACAACACTCTTCATATTGTCCAACCACCCTCGTTCGACCAAAAAAAAAAATACCACAAAAAACCACACATAAAAATATTAAAAACTAAAAAAGGATAGTCAAACATGCCCTAACCCAAATACCATACCCATTTATTCATTTGCCCAACCGAATATATCTCCCTCGAATCGATCACTTTTAGATCGGTTTTGACCCTAATCACCACCACCTATGCGTAGCTCGTCATTAGATCGACCTATCGCCATTGGTTAGAGGAGGATTCGATAACGAGAGAAGAGAGAAATCAAAGTTTAAATCGCCACGACCCGACTTGCTAAAAGACCCTTTTGTATCTCTCAATTTTGGTCGAATCTCCAAGCTCCACCACCACAAACTTGGTCATCCAGCTCCCCTAAACATTTTCCTTTGGAATTCACTATCCAACATCATCGAAAAATGATCCAATTGAAAAAGATCTATCTATTTTTGACCCATTTAAAAGAACTCAACAAAATTGGCCAATTTAAAATGAATCGAAGTCCTAACCACTATAAAAATCCTCCTCACAAACTCATAAGTTGCCTAGTATCCTTGAAACTACAAAAAGTGATCGACGTCATCGTCGGTGAGAAAGGAAGATATTTAAGAGCTCGATCTCCCTCCTTCGACGTCATGATCGACATCCACCACCATTATTAGACTCGCGGCAACCTACTTTATAATGTAGGGTGGTCCACATGCTTGAAAGACCATTGGAAGATGAACGAGTCACTTAGCAGTCAACTTTCGACATTCCAATGGCATTTTTGTAATTTTATAGTGTATGGGCGGTTGGGTCATTTTACTTTCAAAAGTATTTTTGGTCATTTCACAATTGACCGACAGCCTCCTCGATGCCCATAATAGTTATTTCCTCTTTCTCAACTAACTGAATTAACGAATTTTTATTGGGATTAAAGAAAATAAACTAATTCGAAAAAGGACATCTTAATGCTCGGGAAACCTCTAAATTCATATGGTTTTTATTGAAATGATTATGAACATGTTGCATTATGAATGATTGTGGTTGTTGTCTATCATTTATTTCGTTTAAACAAAGCTATCGAGTGGCTTCCCATTTGTGTGAGAAAGCTATCAATAGTTTTGAAAATTATATTATTTATCATACGTTTGTTTAAAATGTGTTTGTTCTATTCAAAAGAAGCTTTTAGTGGTTTTCCACCTATGTGAAGAAGTCGTCGGTGGTCTCAAAATTACTTTATTTATTGCATGCTTACTTGGAATGAAACCGTCGAAGGCTTCTCATTTGTGTGAAAAAGTCATCGATGGCTTCCAAATCGATCATTTGCTCCTCGTTTGGGTGACATAAAGTTGTTAGTAGCTTTTCACTTCTATGACGAAGTTGTCGGTAACTTCTTAAATCAATGACTTGAAGTCATCGGTGGTTTCCCACTTGCGTAAGTGAAATCACCGGTGACTCGCTTTTCATGCTAATAAAAGGCTATCCATCTTTAGAAACTCACCTATTTGTTGATAATAGATCATGTTTACTAATGATTAACCGAAATTTCAACTCCCTCTACCTTCCTCTTTGGTTAAGGAATATTGGCCTTAGATCGGCCTAAACTTTCAAACTATTTTGTTTTACACCCGAGCTACCATGTTTTATATTTTTATAAAATAAACTCATTTAAATAGACATAGAAGTATAACATAATAAAGTTAGATTTTTATGTTCATAAGTAAACAATGCGAGCTTACCTTAGGTAGGATGGGATGATGATGATATTATATCTTCCCCATATATAATCTACCCCTTACTTAGATATTCATGTAAACTAGTATGTTAAGGGTTTTCTAGTTCTCCTCGCTTAGCTAGGTGGTGACTCCTTATTCCGCCCTCCTAGCGAGGTCGACATCAATAAAATTGATTACTCCACTAGGAACAATGTCATACTAGTGTCAAGCTTTGAATGATTGTGTTCATAAATCTCCGGTTTCGTTATGCCACTATGCCTATTTGTTTTGAGTGAATTATTATCATTTAATCATTTGTTTGTTTTTGTATTGTGAAAACATGTTTATATATATGTGTGTGTTATTTTTCCTTACGAGCTTTGGTTGTTTAATTTCTAGCCTTTTATTTCATATTTTTGAGATTAAATATAGAGTCATACCCCACACACTACACTACATAATTTTAACTCGTTATTCTCTTTACCTCGGGATTTAGAAAGGAATTACTAGTGCCCCAATAGGTTTCACCTCGAGTAACGCTCACAAAACCTCAAATCTTTTAGAAAGCCGCCACTATCACGATAGATAATTGATGGTCCCCATGATTACCACCTTTATACTTGGTTAATCTCGGTTCTCTCGAGCTAAAAGAGACCCTATTAAGACTTAGATAGATCCTACCCAATCATATAATGACTACAACTAGACCTTAGGATCATTTTCCTATATAAGTTCAATAGGTGCGGCGCCCCTAGCTACTTTGCCGATTACCTAAAAGACATTGCTAGGTGCATCACGGTTTAGAGACCAAATTCTCAAATTTACTCCCACACACATACATAATATACTAAATATCATCACAAAAGTTATAAAATAATGTAGGTATTATTACGGGTAACGATTGAATCCTATAATTCATGGGTCACATATAAACCTTTTTCTATGAGGAATCGGCGGCTTCATTATCGGCATTATTATCGCCTTTACCTATCAAGCATGAAATAAATATAGAGTGAGCTGAAACTCGGTAAGTAGGGTGATGCACGTGATATGCAATAATCTCCTAACTTCCCCACTTGGACTTATCCAATTTTAATTCCAAGTACCACTAGGTACTAGCAAGTCTACTCTATTTTTAATCCAGGTGATAATCGAATCACCTTCTGTTAATAATGAAATTATCCCTCGTTGTAGCCACTATTAGCTAGAGTCCATCGTCTAACATTGCGGGCTCATTGCTTAGAGTACGCACACGACTAGACCGCTAATACCCATTTATTCCTGTAGGTTAACAAACCTATTCAATTCCATCCGATTCGGTTACCAAACCTTATCATTTTTTACTCAATGATTTTTCTCAATTTAATCTATTCTCATATGCATATGATGTACGTGAGGTATCATAAATCACATTCTACCAAGTCATGGGTACTAAGCCCGTCGATTCCATACTATTGGGATCACATAAGGAATTCAAGACCCACCTCATAGGATTAATCCACTTTGGTTTTTGGGTCCTAGGAATGTGTCGGGGCGTATTTGTAGTGGGTTTTCCTTTCTAACTCGAATTTGGGCCTTAAAAGCCGAACTTTATTCTTTTATTGGATCTAGGTCTTAATGATTGTCTTACACTCTTACCTTCTCACATTTTATTTTATATTTATTTAGGTGTCTTTGGGCCATTTCTTATGGAGTTAGGTGTTTGGAACTCAATTTGTAAAAAATTGGGTTTAGACCGAGTGTTTCCTAGTCTAAACCGAAATTTTTATTTTTTTAGAATCTAACCTTTCTACACTTTATTTTATACTTATTTAGGTATATTTAAACTATTTATTCGTAAATAG